TCTTCTTTTGGGACGTTCAGTATAATAACTTTGGGGTTTCTTCTTCTTGGTGTTGTTATTTTAACTTTTTCGTTTACCTCAGGAATCTGCTCAAGTGCTTCCTTCAGGTTTGTCAGATCTTCGTTTGTTTTGACCTTGAATTTCAGCCCTCCTCTTGACATATTTTGTACGTTTTTTACCCCTATGTTCAACTCTGTTGGATTTATTTTTTCCATGATGGTGCTCATTACTTCTTCTGGGCTTACTATTTCTCCTGTGTCTAATTCCATAGGCTCCAGTATTAATTCCTTAGGGTTACTTTGGTGGGCATCTCCCGTGATTGTTTCCGTGATTAGAGTGGTTGCTTGACTCTTGTTTGATTTTTCCCTTTTTAACACCTCGGCATAGCTTCCCTTTCCTTCCGTATGCCTAGTTCTCAGTGCCAATACTATACCGAACAGGCTATTGGCAGCCGCGTGCATGTCCTTTGCTGCCTGTCTCATGCTTTTCCGTTTCTTTGTTGTCACTGACCCTTGAGAATTAGCCAGAATAGCTTCCATTATAGTGTCCAGACTAGCTGAGACTATCTCCAGAAGATCCTTCTCCGGAGAATTCATGTTGACCGCCATGTCGTAACTTAGACCTTATAGGATCACAAGTTCAATTGAGAAGTAAAAATAGTAATTCATGAGGGTTGTCTTCCAGTCCAGTAAGTTCGCGTTAAATTTCCGAGAAGAATGATATATGTTACACTTAAATACACTGAGCCGAAATAGGGTCAGTTAGGATGCTGACCCCGGCCACGTGGTAGGTCAAAGACCCTTGCCTCCTTTGTTTAAAGCGAGTCTAAGATCGCTCATGATACAAAAACTACTATACCTAGGTACACGAAAATAGCTACAAAAGTAGATACTATACCAATAACGATAATACCCGACAATCGAAGGTACCGGTGGCCCGCGAAGCCTGCACGGCTGCCCGAACCTTTACAACTTTCAATCGTAATAAAATGAAAGCGAGACGTCGGAGCGGAAAACCGACGACGGCGGAGAAAAGGGCTTAAAAAGCCGAGTAAAAAGATGTACAGAACAATGACTTACCGGCGGAAACACCCGGAAAACGCAGCCGGAAAAAACGGAACTTCCGGAAACAATAACCTTTTGATCCACTGGTCCGATCCTGAAATTCAGCACATCGAACGATAGCTCTCGATACGACGAATCGAATGATGTATATATATCCACGGATTGAAAAATAATCCCGCCGGTGCGATGATCGAAGACGGAGCACATGTGACACACTACCTAACGGTCCAGCTTTCATCCGGCTATCCGGTACGACCAGCATGCCGGGTCTATCCAGCATGAAATCAGATATTTCTGTATAGTAAAAATCAGAATGCTGGCATGCTGGGTTAGGTGAGGTTATACATCCTCTCTAGATAGCCCATTAAACAAAAGCATTACATCAAAATCTACAATTATATGTTTAATTTCTTCATTTTGTCTTCTTTCTAACGACATTAAAAAAGCACTTTCAGAATTCTGAAAATGCTTTTTTTGTCTTTTTTTTTTGAAAACCCACACTGACTTACTACTACTGTTGCTGCTGCCGCTGCCGCCAATAAGTCATTAACTGTTTTATTGTCTTATATATGAAAACACTCTTCCTTATTTTAAATCAGTCAAATTACAATGTTATTTTATTGTACTCTGAAGAATGTTTTCTTTAACGTTTAGTTAACTAGATCTGATTAATTTTATATTTTATTCATAGTTTAACCGGCTTGCTGGGCTACCCTGATTATATGCAGCATGCAGATCATTCTGCAAAAATTCAGTATTATTATTATTATTATTATGTTGCAAATGTCATGCTCAATTGATACTGGTTCCAAGTGCTAGGCCAGACTAAAGTCAGGAAGTCAGGGCGTAGCTACCCAAACAAGTGTTATATTAAGCTTCTCTGTTATTGGTATGTGTGTCAAGAAACTTGCAAGAAATCTAGAAACTTCAAGAAATCTAGAAACTTCCTAACAATGTGGTGTGTGTTCAATATTGCTTCTGTAATGCCATGTATATGTTTTTATTAAGGTTTAATGTTTCTAGACTTTTGTGGTATAACCTGTAGAAGAGAGGACAACAGGTACAATAATTACTTTATCCATCCTCCACATCTGTCTTATTTCTTGAGCGAGTGGAGTGTACTTGTTGACTTTTTCAGAGTGAACATTTTTTATATTATGGGTGTTTGGAACAGAGATGTTTATTATATTAGCAATCTTATTGCATTTGTCAATGAGAGTGATGTCAAGTCTATTGTGATAAACTGTTTTATCTGTGATTATGGCTCTGTCCTAGTATATTTTGTGTGTGTCATTTTATATTACTATCAGTGGAGTATATTTGTAGTATGGTACCTTGATGTTTAATATCTGTGTTTGTGCGCAAACTCTTGGTGTGATATATTTGCTACTTGATTATGCCTATGTAAATGGTCTGTGCTGAGAGTTTGCAACCAGAAGTTATATGTTGTATTATTTCTGGCAGAATGTGGCATTTTCTGCAAGAGTTATTTGTCAGTGATATATCCTTCAGGATGTGTTTTCTGAAGTTTTTAGTGTTTATGACCCGATCTGGAATGGCAATCATAAACCCTTCAATCTTTCCAAACAGATAGCACCTATTACTATTATTATAGCATTTAAATAATAATTTTCAGTTTACAAATAATTGATAACAATTTTTAAAAGCTATATAGTAGCATGAATATGACAATAAAATCATATAAGTGTAATATTGAAGATATAAATCATATCTTCAGTAAAACTGCACTTATTTTCAAAATAAATTATTCTTTTTTGTCTATATTTAGTGCAGTTACAATAAAAATATCTGCAAAAACATAATGAATTATCTATGTTTAATATTATTTTTTCACATTGCAAACTTTTTGCTTCAAAGCAATTTCCATATTTTCAATTTGCCATTAACTAATGTTTCCTTAACGTTAGGAAAAAATGGGTCTAGAATGCTTTGATACAACTGTTTTGGCACAGATGGTATTAGAGCACAGTGAGTTCTAGTTTTTGCTAATATTGACAGAAACTTATTTTTCTGTGTAAATTATTCAATAACTCACAGACTAATAATAATTGTTAATTGTTATCTAGATACCAAGTTAAAGCTGACATAATTTCTATCGTTTCTATAATCAAACTTTCAAATGTAGATCATCATTATGATATGATTTTTAATATAACTGTTCTTTTTTTCATTCGGTACATCATAAAGATTATCTTTCTAATTAGAAAAAAGTATTCTAATAAGACACATTTAAAAATTATAAAGCATTTATGTCTCACCCACACCTTCTATGAGATCTTTTCATGCTTCTCCTCTACCTATTTCTATGTATATGATAAAGAGGTTGGTTAAAACAAAGAGAGGAGGATAAGAAGAAACAGACTTGAAGATCTCAGCACAGAAAGAAAGAAGTATGTTCCTTAAAAAGAGATAATTGCGACAGCAATTAAAGACATTTTATAATTAAATTAATTACTGTCCAACATAATTATTAAAATGCCATTTTCGGTCTTGTTTCTCCCTTTATAATTTAAGATGATCTTTTAAATATAAAAATTTATATATCATAATGTACAGATCCCAGATTAGATAAAACTTTTCAAATTTTAACTTAGAATATGTGAAGATTTCATATAAAAGGTCAAAGATGATAAATCAAAAGAATTGAATATTGCTCGCTGATTATAAATATTAATCAAATCTAACTTATCTGATCCTAATGTGAAGGAAAATATATCAAATTTTCAGGAATTTTCAAGATTTTATGCTGGTTCATAAATTTAAGACAAAAATTATGCTATGAAGATTTTAATTTATATAAAAACCTTCGACACTTTTTCTAGCAATTTTCTTTAATCAAATTAATGTTTTAAACTATATTTAATGGCCTTCCTCAGGTTCGACAATATTTGAAACGTCAGATATTCGAAAATTTGTTTTTGGATATCTGACGTTCCAAATATTGTCAAACCTGAGAAAAGCCATTAAATATAGCCGAAAACTGCTAGAAAAAGTGTCGAAGAACTTATTTTCAGAAGTTCTAGCTTTCTGTGCATAAAATTACGAAGATTTTGTCTAATCAAATTGCATTTGATTCCAATGTTAACAATACCACAAATAAACAAAGACAATCACTGTACAATTCAAGGAATTAGGTGTATTCATTGACTCCTTTAACTGTTTTTACAGTGTATGGAGATTCAATTGTCAGAAAGCTGTAGGCTCACCAGTGGCCGAGTGGTCTTTGTACCCTGACCACTGGGAGTTCGGTCGTGGGTTCACGTCTCACTCGGACGGGCTGGCCATGTGGAGTTTTCCGTGTTTTCTCCACATCTGTAACGCCTAAATAGGAGCCAGTTTCCCTTAAAAAGACCTCCCGGAAGGCATTCCCCTAGGCAGATCGCCCAAGTGTTGCGTTGCCATAACTCAAAACAAACAGAAAGCTGTAACAAAATTCAATTAATAAAGATAATATTCTAACCATTAAGATAACTTACTGGACTAATTACCATACAGTTATCAGTTGGATTTTAAAATAATGTCAACAATTTCAACCCAGTTAAATTAACAGGCCATCCTTGGGAATCAAAAGTAAAATGCGAAACGCTACTCTAGTGTCGGAAGGAAGTACAAAAGGGCTAGATTTGAATAAAGTAAACATTTAACATAGATTTAAATGCTACATATATAAAAAGCAAATGTTTTCACTTGTGTTAAATGGTCATCATCAGGGCAGAATTCTAAGACAAATGTTTCAAGCATCAGATCACATTATTCTTGCTTTAATTATTTTAGAAACATTAGTTTAGAGGTTTTTTAAACTATTTTAAAGTTATAGATTGTATAATAATAAAGATACTGTGCTTATAAAAAAAAAAAAAATTGATGTTTTAATTTAAAAATATTAATTAATATATTTAAAAAATATAAACTCACTTAATAAATAAATTTCTGATGCATTAAACTGTAAAATCCTCAACTTAACAGCATATTTGCATCTATATTTCATTAAATAAGCTACAAATTTGAAATAAATCAGAAAACACTACTAAATTGTCAATTTCATTCAGCTTCCATTCAAATTTGAAAATGGTAACCATGGTAATTGGATCTCGATCACGTGATTACTAAAATAATTAAACTTTAAAACATTTTACGTAAATTAATTATAAATTTATTATAATAAGTATTAATAAATAGAACGTTTAACAAAATATTACAAAAAAAATTAAAATATAACTCGTTTACATTAAGATTATTTATATTAAATATAAATAAATTAAAATATTTTATTATATAAATTATGCATATATTTTTTTAAATTATTAAAACGTGTGTTTGGACAAACTGGTTAGATAAGAATTAAATAACTTTCGTTGATTCTTAAGACACATCAGAAACAAAAATGTTTTCAAATAGTTTAATATTTCGTATAAAAAAAACACTTATATAAATGAAATTACTGGATATTTATACTCTACATTGAATGTAAAGTACAGTAAAACCTCGATTTAACTGTCTAATTCGGACGTGGGAATGTCCATTAAAGCATAAAATCCGTTATATAAAGTAGGTTTCCCGAATGCGTGTATTAAAAAATTGTCAAAGTGGTTCGTTCATCTGTTTTTACTTTTGTAGATACGTTTATGTAATTACAATTAAGTACTGTATGAGAAATTCAATTTCACAGAAAAGTTTTCTACATTATTATTATTGCATATTACATATGTACTCAACTTAGTTCTGAGACTAATAACTAAGCGGTGACTCTTGGATTTGAAAAAATAATCTGTTAATTTAATTACATATAAAAAGCATTTTAAAATTAGCAAAGTGTTAATTTTCATATATGACATACTGACCAAAAGTTTTGTCCGTTAAGTCCTAAGTCTGTTAAATCGATGTTTTACTGTATTAAGTCAGAATGTTTCCAATTTGCAACTCATATACTGTATTTAATAACTTAAAACTGAATTTTAAATATACTGTAGTTATTTAATAAAGACATTGTCTAGTAAATAATTTTTTGAATGTTTTGTCTTAAAAATTTGCAATTTATAAAATAAAGATCAACTTCAAGACTGGTGTCTTAACGGTATTCGCATTTTTTTACCAGACGAGCTCCCTCTTATGTTCTAAAACACATCTACTTTTTGGAGATTATTTAAATCAAGATCCATATTTATATACACCCAAACCTAGTTACACTTTCTATCAATTTTTACATGCTTCTCGTGAGCGCTCCCACGTTTTTATTTTTTGATTGCATACCAAAAATACTGTGAAAGCTGAAGTTTTTTATTTTTTACTGATCATCATGGGTAATCCATTACCTGTCACTTTTCCAACTTCTTATAAAAACATTTTCCCTCTTCTGATCAATGCTCAGGTCACCCCGAGCCTCAGTATTCTATTGCTCTTCTATTGACATAACATACCAATCTCCTCAACACACTTCCCTGAAATTTCTATTGGAGACAGATAACTCCAATAGGACATTAAACAAGGGTAAATATTTCCTGTTATCGCTGGCTATAACNTATTTTTTTATTTTGTACAAACAAAATAAATATATTGAAAAATATAAAAATAATAAAAAATTATACTTCAGATGTTAATTTAGTATCAAAAACGTAAAATATTTGAGTAGCCCAAGCCATAGCCAAAGATTAAAGCGCCACAGCACTGGCGAAAATTTAAATTTGCCGACTGAAATTCTTTCGGATGATTGACGTTTCGGATGATTGACTTTCGGAAAATCGACGCTCTACTGTACTGTATTATTATTATTAACTTTTTAAAGGATTTTAATTGTTTAAAATATAAATTTTTTTCAAGAGTTTTCGCTTGTAAAAATACATTATTTTTTAAATCAATTTAAACCCGTTTTTTTAAATAAAATCCAAATAAAAATTATAAAGCGAAAAATACAAAGTTTGAAGCTAAAAATTGAAGTGAATCCGGGTTCGATTTCGGTCTTTCCATCGTTAATTTACCATGAGCGGTATTACAATTCTTCATCCTTTATCAATACTACTCGATCCCATTGAGGGTCAGACCTTCTTCTAATGTAGTTGTGTTGCCTTTGTGGCTACTACAGTAGACCACTCTATAACACTGTAGATAATTCCGTGTTATATGAATTCCATGTTGTACGAGGCACTTATATTTTACAAATACGTGAGCCGTTCACAGCCTGGCACACGTATTTGTAAAATCTAAGTGACTCGTACAACACGGAATTCATATAACACGAAATAATCAACAGTGTTATGGGGGGTCGACTGTATATGAAACCCTTTCCTACTTCAAATGATAATTAAGATCATGAGATTCTAAACTGTTGATTAACTTATATATTATGATATGTCGGACAAGAAGGAGGGGAGGGTTGAACTTTAATGGACGTCCTTTTTATTTCATTAACTTATATACAGTTTATATCACTTTATAAATAATAAAATGCATAAAGGTTTTTAATGGGATTGAATTTTATTAGATGTACGAAAAGGGGAGGGGGTTGCGGAATCTGGGACAATGGAGGAGGGGGGAGTATACATTACAATAAGAATGCGGACGGATTTTGACTCAATTTATAACGTTTTTAACCTACAAAATCAACTTTTAAACCCATTAAAATTTAAAGAAATTACAACAAAAATTTAGAGGGGAGTGAAAAAATACAGTATTTTCGAGAACAAATTAATCTTAATTTAAAATAAATTAGAAAATCTTACCTTAAATATTGTAAATTATTGTCATTTATATTATTTTAATCCTTAATTACACTTTAATCTAAGTGCAAGGAGTTTACTTAGGGGGTCATTATAACATTTAATTGATATTCATTACGATCTCATAAATCTAAATTGAGTAAAGGCAGTTTAGAAACATCTCTAACCATTTTATACTATAATATTATTGAAATTATGTCAGTAAACATGCTAAACTATTGTAAATAAATGTAAAATTATTCAATTTATCTGTTATACATCCCTAATGCATTAATTTATATAAGCTTATATAGGAAAATGGATATTGCAATTTGAAGCTACAGTACGTTTATGGATACGCTGTAAATTGTAATTTTTTTTTTTTTAATGTTTAANTAATTTAAATTAATTTTCATAAATAATTAATTTCTATTTAAAGTAAGCAAATATTTTTAAATTAATTAACATTAATTCATTTTTTTTAATGCTTAAAAGTAGAGGTTTATTTAGGAAATTAAAGCTTAATAATTCAAATTTCGTGCTTGAAAAGGATCGAAGTAAGTGTGAGTGTGTTGTTTATAAGAAATAATTAGCATCATTTTTATTTAATAAATTTATATATATATATTTTTCTTTATATTCTAAGTAAAGATTTCTTTCTATATATAGTTAAAACGTGTTGTATATTCATCAAGAGAAGGTGGTTATTTAATTGGTAAATGACGTGCAACTGGAGCGATCATGCACTATCTTACTGAAAGACTCATTTACACAACGACGTGTTAGCAAACTTCTCTCTATAAATATTCATCAGAATGATGTCACAACTCATCAAAACATCCTACCAACTTCATTAAAAGACTTTCTCATATTACTTTCTTCAAGGAAACAACACAGAACTCCTTCCTTTCTATACCTACTACAGTACTGTACTACATACATATATGTTTTTATTTATTTATTAAAATAACTTATATATATTAATTAAAGTTTAATATTAATAATTAAATTTTAACAATACTCTTCATTTAAATATAACAATTACTCCTTAAAATGATATATTTTTAATTGATAACTTAGAAAAATAAATCGAAATTCTCTATGATTACATTTACAAAAAAGAAGAAGAAGAAAATACATCAATTTCTCTTTAAAATTGATGATTTTACTTCTTTTAATCGATAATTGAAGAGAAAATAATCAAGAAAAAAAAAATCTTTTCAAGTATATTTATGAGAAGAAATTAAAGGAAAATAAAATGTTTTCCTCTATAAGAAAATAGATTCAATAACAGGAAACAAGCATTTATAAAAGGATATTTTATTTTAATAGCTTCGAAACCAGATATCAATTTACAAACAATACATTCTCTATTGCTCTCTTCATCCTTATTTTATAAGGAGAGAGAGAGAGAAAGAGGGAGGGAAAGAAGAGTATTCTCCTCTTTTTTAAGGGGAGAAAAGGGAAGGAAATAGTGTCATTAAAACTGAAAATGTGTTATTTTATAGGAAACATCATCTTGTGGAACGATCACCTTTTAGAAACAATGTAAAAGAATTGATGTTATATCTTAAGAAAAGTAATAAATTTAAACATAANAAAGTTTAACAAATTATCAAAGAGAGAACACACCCGAGAACGTTAATTATGCGTTAAAAATTGGGTAAAATGCCCCATTAGTAGTGGAAACTTGATAGATTACTCCGAATCTATGGGGTAAAAGGGCGTTTACTCCTTTATTTCTACTAGAAACATGATAGATTACATAGATCTATCACATTTATTCCATAATTAAATTGTCGATTGTTATGTTTTTTTATTTTTAAAGTAACTCATCTTTATAAGAAAAGAAGTATTGATACAATACAGTACATCCCATAGAAAATAAGAAAAATTAATAAATTAGAAATTACTAAACTTAATGAACTTGTTAATTAATTACTACATTTTTTATTTTTCTATAAAAAAATTATAGAAAAATATTTAAAAGAAGAATCGATTCCTTTTAAATCATAGAAAAATAAGTGTAACACTTGTTAAAAATAAACAAAAATCGTGATAAATTAATCATAAGAGAGAGAGAGAGAGAGAAGAGAGAGATATTTCCTTGTACTCTAATTAGATTTTTTTATTATTATTATTTAATTACTAATCTTTACATATTTAAAATTAAGTCGAAATTAATTGGAGAAAGTTAGAAAATTTATTTTCATACGTATGCTCCTTGCTCCTCTTTAGAATTAGTTATATATTAAATTAAATTAATCAAAATCGATAATTAAAATGCAAAAAAGGATACATTTTTTTATTTAATTTTATTATATTAATCCTTGTATCTTTAATTAATTAAGTAAAGTTGAATTAAATCTACTTGATAAGTGAGTTAG